ACCAGGATGAACAATCAACAACGCATAACATGAATAATCAATCGCGAATCAGCAAAACAGACCCTGCGCCGATCGACACACACACACACTGTGTCGATCGACACGCAACCTCGATGTTGATCGCCGCACACTTTGTCGGTTGACACAGAGCAACTGCGTCGATCGACAAAGAGCAACTGCGTCAATTGACGCACGACGTATAACCCAAGAATCGAACCTATCCTCTCACGGATCGATTCCTGATCGGATCGATTCCTGATCGCATCGATTCGATCTCCTGCACAAATCCACCAAAAACACAACACGAAATCCACCAAACAAAGCAAACAGTCGCATCCTATCTATTTCTTTACCCATATAAGCCATGGTCACGCACTCATCTCGAATCTGGAAGGAAAATGATGAAAGAAATTCACAAAGAACGCATATCTCCAATCTGAATCCTCACCAAATCGCGAATCCAACCCACCAGAAACGATCTACAGAGCCTCCCAAACACACACAAGAGCTTTTAGGATCAAGAACTCGAATAAATCAATAATAATTCTTTCTTTTTTCTCAAATCCTCTCACAAAACTCACTGGAAATTTCTCTGGAATTTTCTGGAAACTTTCTGGAACTAAAAGTTCTGACAGAAATCGGCCACAACCCTTATATAGGGAAGCCCTAAGGTTTCCCCTATACCGAGCTGAACCGACGATTCACATCGAACCAACCCGGTTCAATTCACAACCTGCGTCGATCGACACACACCCCTTGTCAAAATTCACAAAATTTGGTTCGCGGTCGTTACAGATTCCGAGTCCAAAAAACTCTTCTTTCATAGTCGAGATGATCGCTCATAGTCATCGTGAGGTTAGGGACCAAAAACCTGCTTCCTCCCCAGAAAATTGCCAGTATAAACACCATCTAAGCCAGCCAAGGGAGGAGTTCCGGTGGTTCTTGATCTGAACTTTTCTAAAAGCAGCGGGTAAAATGATAAGTGAAAAGTAATTTTTAAAAAATATTAACAAAAAAGGTAAATTAGCAGTGGGTAAAAGCCATAGAGCCAACATCCCAATAGTTAATAGCTAATCTCGGGAGTCGAGCATGAGAGCTTTTCCTTTTGACGAGCTAACTTAGTCAACTTTTGTAATGAAAAG